TTCCCCCCCCCCCCACCCGCATTGAAGGGGTTAAAAATACCTAAATTTTAAAAGAAGGATTATTTTGTTGTTGTTGTTGTTATTGATCCAGCAACAGCTGGGTTCTCGCCCTTCTGTCCAGTGCCATGTAGAAAGGATTATTTTAAAGCACTTGTATTGTGGGATTTAGTTTCTGATGGTATGTCTATTATCCTTGTTCTTTGTCCTACTCCGCAGGTGCTGTTACATCGGGGCTCGTCCAAAGAAGGCGTTTTCCTCCACTCCCCGACCGGTGCTTTCGACCACGAACTGTTCACCCTGATCTGGGGCCAGACCGTGGCGGCGTTGTCCTTCGTCTTTGACAAAAGTGCCGAAGAGACCATTGTCCAGAAGGCGGTCTCAGGCTTCAGGTACCTGGCGCGACCCTGTTTGTTCTTGTTACTTACTTACTTGGTTGGTGGGTGGTTTGTGAGTGCTCTGGTGGGGTTTGCTTCTTCTTTCCTATCAAACGTCTATTGTCCTTTTCTCCCCTTCTTCTTTTTTATGTTTGCATAAACCCACACCGTACTTTGTTACTCTCTTGTAACACCTCTAATCTTATGGCGCTCATTTGACTGTATTCAGTTGCGAGCGCCGTAAAACCTCTACTAAAACTAAAAACTTATTTGGTTGGAGAATAGGTATCATTGCAGGCGGCACAATGCCATAGCTGCTCCTCCCTCCTCTCCAGGATCCATGAAAGGGTCTGTCCGTCTGCTGATCGGGCCAGTTAACAGCAACAAATATATGTTTGTTCTTGTTGTTGTAAAGTAGTAAATCGCTGTCTTTGGTGTAGTGGTTAGGCTTTTTGCTATCTCACACGAGGAGAGACCCAAGTTCGATTCCAAAGTGGGGAGAATTTTTTATTGAGTATCTCACTGAGATCGCGACCCCAGTGCTTTCTTGTCGTATCTCCATTTAGGATAGGGTTAAGTATGCTCTTTTGGTATCATTGAGACTATATATGCTTTTATGGTATCAATGACTGCAATTCTGTCTAAACTCCTTTTTTGGCACTCATATGACCTTATGCATTTGTCAGTGCCATGAAACCTCTACTGAAACAAAAACACTCTTTTTTTTTTCCCCCACAGGAAATGTGCAATGATCTCAGCTCACTATGGCATGAGCGATGTTTTTGATAATCTGGTCATCTCTCTGTGCAAGTTCACAACTTTGCTGAGTGCTGTGGAGGTAAGGATGACGAGGATTTACTTAAACACAGTGTTGACATCCTATGAGATTGTTTATAGAAATGGGTGGTAGCTTCTGAACTGTTGGATATAGGCTTATCTTCTCAACTGTGTGAGCTGTGTGTAAGGGGTCAAACCAGGTGATCTCCACCTCCTTCATTCACAAATATCTCGACTTCTCATAACTTGCTGTTCTGGGCATCAATGTCATTGCACTCCGGACAGGTCCATAAGTGCTCAGTTCTCCCCAGCACCAAAGCCCGCAAGGTATCCATACTGATTGTTCTATTCAAGATAAATAGATCATTTTAAGTCCAAAGTAAGACGAATGAACAAGCTTTTTAAGATGATACCAATAACTCTACATGCCCCAAATTAGACGAGAGCCTGATTCCAACGAGTTGTGACATATAGTATAATAACGACACTGTCCAGGACACCCACCTAAGACAACCTTGTTTTTCCACGACAGTTGGTGGCTAAATCTGCACCTGGACATGGATGGCTGGTGCCTCTATAAATAAATCATTGGTGGTCATGGTCAAGGTCAGTTGATGGCTGTCTTGGGCAATTTCGACTCTTCATTTATTATACTATTTTTATGATTGTTTCCTGTCTCCCCAGAGTCCAGAGTCTATACCCGCCTCCTTTGGGATCAACCTGAAGGCCCAGCTGGCGGCTAGGACGGTGTTTGGGCTGGCTCATCGGCACGGAGACATCCTGAGGGAGGGCTGGAAGAACATCCTGGACTGTATGCTGCAGCTGTACAGAGCCAAGCTTCTGCCCAAGTCCATGGTGGAGGTAATGGCCCGTTTTGTCTATACAGACGTTCAATTTAGCTAAACTCCTCATCTCAAGCAAGCCGCTCCCAGCGGTTCACGGTCGGAACCACTCTGCCGGTGAGCTGCTGACAGCGGTTTTACTGTCGTATCCATACGACGTGGGGAACTCTGTGCCGCCACTTAACCCTATCCGTACGTCGTGTTTTACTATCGTATCCAACTTTCAAAGAGGAAATTTACTCGTTAATCCAATCCGTACGCTTTACATAGCAGTCTGTCAAAATAATTTTTTGAGAAATGCTGAAAGTTTCAAAGAGGTCTTCGTACTAGAAGTGTTCTAAAATATGAAGAATACAACCCCAGGGGGGACAAAATGACCCTGGGGCGTACGGAAAGGGTTAAATAAAAAAAAACAAGTGGGGTGATGGGAAGTAGCCGTTTGTATTGATGATTTTTATTTTTAATTTTCCAATGCACCAAACTCGCATACACACTTCCAACATACACACTCAAGCACTGTAACGATAAGGGAATGTATGTTACATTTTTTCTTAGTTTCCTTTCTAAATAATTTTTTTTTTTCCCCACAGGTGGAAGATTTTGTGGATGTTTACGGGAAGATTTCCATTTTGAGGGAAGAGTCCACCACCACAAGGTTTGTGATTGTGTGTCTTGATGTTGGAGAGGAAAGCGAGTGAATTGAGGTTGTTTTTATGTACTCCGATTGTATCCTTGATTTATTAAAGGAAAGCAAAGAAAATGAAACTCTTTTTGTGGGTCGTTGGCGGGTGCTTTGGTGTGGTATGCTCCTTCTTTCCTATTGAACAACTATCGTCTTTATCTCTCCTCCTCCTTTTTTATGTTTGTTACTCTCTTGTAACA